CGTGGCTGGCCGGACGGGCCGGACACAATGGCGGACACGGACGCGGACGCGGACGCGGAGGCAGACGCGGATTCAGACTCGTTGTGGCGGACACACGAAAGCAAAAACCGAGTCGACAAAACTTAATAAAAATCAAAGAACGAGGTGTGGCCCAGAGCCATAGTGGCAGTCCGTGGCCAGAGGGTTATAGGAAGGGGACAAATACGGGAAATGGAAATGGTTACTTCAAACCAGACCTGACCAAGGAGAACCGTCTCGAACCGCACCGAGCTGAACCGAACAAAGCGTGGCAGAACTAAAAAATGAAATCGTAGCAATAGAAATTAAAAGCCAAAACCAGAGGCGTGTGTGGCCCCAGGCAGGGGCAGGTCCGATGGGGGGCTGACGAGCGAGCGACATTGATTGAAAGCTTTCACTTGCTTGCGCTTTTAAAACGAATTGGAACGGAACCCACCCACACCATGAATTCCTGGAACACTCCTTGAGCTATTTGCATATTACCCTCACCAGTCCGCCGCCCATGAATTAGCAGTGGATAAAGATGACAGGGGGGGACAGGGGATGAATGATTAAAGCGGAAGAAATCAGATAAGTCTTCTTCTTGGGTTCAAAGGGAGTGCAGCCTGAAATTAAATTTCAATCTGTCGCATATAAATCCCTCTCAATTTCCGGCAGCACTTGTCATTGCTCTGAACAAATGAAGCGAGCAAATGTTCCATAAGTGAATTGATACACGCAACTGAGTGTTGGGCAGTCGCTGAAGAACTAATCCAATGGCAGCTCACTCTCCATGAGCTTCCAGAGTACATCTTCTTCAGTACATCTTGAACACACACTTTACCCCTTGGGACCATATTATTCTTCTCAGTAGTTGCCCTATCGTGTCCTTGCATGAGCAAATTTGCATATGGTTGCCAATGGGCGTGGATACGGACGTGGAAGTGGAAGTGGAAGTGGCCGGGGTGTATGTATATTATGATAGTGATAGATATAATCAAGTTGGGCAAACATCAACAAAGTATTATGTTACCCGCTGGTGTCTCCCATATCGTCCTGATTTGGTGTCTCCTCTGCCAGCACATGGCGTGTGTGAGCTGCCTGCTCTCCATGCCCCACCAACCAGCTGCTAGGAGTGCGGGGAAACAACAAAAACAATCAGCTAAAATGGCAAAAAGGCAAAAAGCCGCGACAGCGTGACTAAAATGCGCACGTCAATCCTTTTTTCGCCACCCACCCCCCCTCCAAAACCTCGAAAACCCCCACCTAATACCCACCATGACACTGTGCCTCCTGCTTTAGTACCCGGTAATCGCAAGGAACAAAAGTATATTGAATTGTGAAACATCTAACCAAAATGGGATAAACAAAAAACTTTAGCTGATGTTTTGTTAAGAAAATAAATGCGCTTGGCTCGTCACGTGGCAGCAAATCTCCATTGCCACTGGACGCTGCAACATTCCCCACACTGCAGTGCACTGGGTGGGCCGAGCATAGGGTATCTCCTGGTCGGTTCATCGTAGTAAGGCTCTCGCGGCATGGGTTTTTTTGTTTTGGGCGCGCCAGGAGTCAGCCATGTTTACGGTGCCTTTTAAATGGACAGGAGACGTCGACGACAGCAAACAAATATCAGCAGAGAGAGAGAGAGAGAGAGAGCGAGAGAGAGGGCACGCGAGAAGTGAAGGAAAACCAATGGCAAGAAGAGCGAAGAAAACGGGCAGGGAGCGGTGAAGGTCGAGCAGAAGAGATTGGGAATAAGGCAAAAAGCAGACAAAATTGAACGCAACTAAAGTGTCACCGTTAATTTGCCGAGCGAAACGAACACGAAATAAAACTGCGACATCGAAATTGAAATTGAAAAGAATGAAACTAAGAGCCAGATGAAAAAGAACAATAAGCAGTGGCAGCAGAGCCGCGAAGGAGAGCCAAAGGGAGGCGGACAATTAGCACGCATTGCCCATAACCATAAACGACAAAACAACAATTAGCAGCAACTATTTTCGCTTATTGGCCCTAAACAAGAGCAAGACCGAGCCCAGGCAGGGATACACCCAAGGCAACAGAGAGAGAGAGAGAGAGAGAGGGAGGAGAGGCACTGACCTAGACGACCCTGCAGACAGAGAGTTGTCAAATGATAAGGAAATTTCATTTGTAATTAATACTAAAGGCGCGACAGGCACGGGACAGCAGTGAACGGTGTGTGGGCAACAGTAGCGAAAGAGAAAGAAAGCAAGCAAGAGGCAGCCACAAAAGCGACAACCACAAACCGAAGCCAAGACAAGAAAACAGAGAGAGAGTGGCAAAGAGTAGCGGGGGGGAGGGAGGTAGCGCAAGCGGATGCGGATGCGGACAAGAGCGCTGCCATGATACTGCTGGCCAGGAGCTACTCACTGCTTTGGGGAGCTGTGTGGGCAGCCATACAAATTTGTTCAACATTTTGTTGCCTTTTATGATTGCGATTGCGATTGCGATTGGCAGTGCAAGAGCGGGGAGCAGGGAGCGAGAAGAGAGTCAAATCAAATATATTTATGGCTACCATATTTATTTTTATAATGCACAAAAAGATCGTTCGATAGCAGCTGCCAAGTTTCTTTGCTCTTTAAAATGTAAGTAATTCTTTAAAAAATGTTTGATGTAGAGTTATTCAATTGAATCCGAGTGTTGCCACTGCCCCTGCTTGCCTCAATCTAATTATAATTGCTATAATTATTATTTAGCTATTACCTTTGCACTGGTTGCAGTTTAAGCGCTTAAACCAAAACCCCAAACTTTGGCCCTGGTAGGTCATTAATTTTCGCTTAAATTGTAAATAAACACACACACACACACACACACAGAAGTTGCAGTAAAAGTACGAAAAATAAAAAGCAACAAACTGCTGGTTGTGGGGCAGGGGCAAGGATAAGAGAATGTGGGAAAATAGTTTAGCCTGAATTCGGATTCGGAATCTGTATCAGGATCAGGGCTGCCGCAGCTGCGGTTACCGCTCAAGTTTTTGTCCCACTTTCAGATTCAGATTCAGCTTTGGTTTCGGTTTCGGTTTCGGTTTCGGCTTCTGTTTCGGTTTGAGGGTTATTCCGGGTCTCGGTCTCGGCTTTGAGTTCAAGCTGCAGAGCTACAGAGCTGCCGAGCTGCGGGGCTGCAGAAAAACATTAAAATGGAATTAAGCTTCAAGTGTGCCACAAGAGGCAGCAGCATTCGAGGCCATGTAAATCGCAGGGCGCAACATTCTGCCACAGCAACAATTTGTCGACAAGCGACAAAGAGCCTGGGTTGCCCCAGGCCACCAGCACTCCACAGTCGCCATTCCATCCTTTCGTTTGGTCGCTGCCAGGGGCACTGCAATGACGCAGAGCATTTAGAAATCCATTAATTTCAATCATTGCCCATGACATTGCATTATTATTATTATTATTATTATTATTATTGTTATTACTCTCGTTGATGTTGCCGTTGCTCTTGTCGTTGCCTTTTACTCTTCACTCGCTTACGTTTTTTTTTTTAATACTTTTTCACCCCTTTTCACACTTTTTACAATTTTTCTGCCCTCTCACGTTCATTGCAAACTTTCAAGGTTTTTTTTGTGCTCGTTTCTTTCCGCTGGTCTTTTTTTAGTAAAATGTTTCAGAGTGTAGTCCGTGCGGCCGTTACTCTCGCAGAACTTTCGAGTTCGCTCTTCATTTTATTTTTAAATATTTTGCTAGCTGATCCATTCTTTAACTTCATTATTTATATGATATATTATGATGATCAGCTCACCTGTTCATGGCGAATCGAATTCTTATACGATAGTATTGCCTTTTCATGTTTGATATCCTCCAAGGATATGTTTCATCTAGCCCTGCTTGCCGACTTGCCGACTTGCCGGCCACAAAGATATCTCGAGTGTTGGAACTCGAGTTTCAGTTCCCCAAGGTGTTCCCTGGAGCGCACAGCCGGCACCACCGTCGGAAAAGTGCCACCCTTCCGGGAACTGCAGTGCATTCCACACTGCACTTTGTGGGGGAAGCCGCTGCCTTAGGAATGGGCAACGCGTTTTAATGACTCAACATTTCTTGACTTTGATTCAAGTCGCGGAAGGAAGGAAAGTAAAAAGTGCAGGTTGCCGCGTCTGAAGCAGCAGGGAAGGGGCGGGCGTTTTGGCCAAAGGCATTGGCCCGCTTTTTTGTCGGCTGTCAAAATAACAAAGTGCTTCAGCTGCGGGGCCAGAAAAACACAGAGAGCGTGAGTGAGAGTGCAGGGGTAGGAAGGGGGCCAAATGGCAAAAAGTGTCGATGAATGTTAAAGTTAACAAGTGACGGAAGTGAATTTACAGGACGGGCAAAAAGGCAGCCACAAAACAAAGGCAAAGGCAATGGAAAAAACGAAACGAAACGAAACGAACGAGAAACAAGAACGAACACGAAAAAATTAAAAGGCAAGTAAGCAAAAATCATTTGCCCAGAGTGCAGGACGAAAAGCACAACACGAAGGAGCAGCAGCAGCACCCAAAAAAATGGAAAGAGGGCAGAGCGAAAAAAAAGTCCAGCTCGGACAGCCATGACATGAGATGGATGGAACTGAAGTTTCCGAATCGATGGGTTGCTACGTGCTTGGTGTGGAGGTGCCGGCAGCAGTGATTTGGGAAATGTGATTGCAATGAAGATGGGATCCTCAAGCTGAAAGATCTAGACAGAACCTCATCTAAATTCGCTCTCGCTCGTTCTTGCTTTTTCATTAAAGAGAACTCGTCCTTGGCTGCACAAATGGCACTATAATTGTTGCAGCCTGATGGCATACATATTAAGATATGCCTACATTCATATTAAGGCACAGTACCCTGATGAAATCTCTCCGAGTGTGCCAGCTGTTGGATTCCACTGTTGATCCGCGTGTTTGTCTCTCTCTCTTGTCGGTGTCGCATTATTTTGTATTACTTTAGGCCAAATGTGGCCACATCTACCGCATTGTTGCCGACTTATGAATCAGCTCTCTGACTGCCGTTTCTCGTTTTCTCGTTGCAGTGCTGCTCGCCGTCAGCTGGGAGGATTGGTGGACATACGATGGAATCTCAGGTAAGCTGAAACCTTTACCCCTACCCTGGCTTTCCTTCATCCAACAGCATCAGGGTTTAAGTTTCATAAATACCAACAACAAAGTAAATTTTAATCAAAGCTCAGAGAGAGAGGGAAAGCACTAGGAGCTGTCGGCGGACAACAATAACCACGACGGACGGACGTACGGAAGCGGAAAGTAAAATTTTCTGCCAACGAGCAGCACGCGTCGCTTAAGCAACAAAGTAAAGAGAAAAGAGCGCCGCCGTCCCACTCTCTTCACAGTGCAGGTAGGGGAATACCGTACTGTTTCGAAAGAGAGAGAGAGGGAGCGAGGGGGGGGTGACCGAACTGCACAGCACTGCACCTGTGTGTTGGAGAGCGCGCGCGGTAATACTGCATTTATGTGTGAGAGAGGGTGAGTGTAAGAGAGGCTAAACCCATGGCATGGCATTGTTGTTGCTGTCGGTGTAAAAACGATTTTCCCAGCGACTGAAGCTGCACGCGTGAACTGCATGGAAAAAGACATGCCGCTGGTGTATGGAAAAAGGAGCTTTGGGTATCGGGGGTATGGGAATGGCTCCCGCAGGGCCAGCACCATCGAGAGACGAAGCCGATTTGCAGCTGTCAAATGGAAAGGCAGACAAAGTAGAGTAGGGCGACAGAGGAGAGAGAAGAGAGAGAGTGCAGTAGCTGGAGCAACTTTCCTTTTTTGTTTGCTGCCATTGTCTGGGGCATATCCCCTGGAACGTGATAAGCAAGGACTCCAGCACTACAACGGGGACTCCCAACTGAGACTGAGACTGAGACTGTCGACAGGGAGAGACCAATCCCAGCCCGAATTGGAGGCGGCGTACATTTCGCCATGTGTCACACGGTGCGAAAGCAGAGCTGGGCTGGGGATAAGGTCCGTGGAGATTATGTCCAGACAGAAAGGCAGACAGCCGATAAGCATGGCTCTCTTTCCCACACATAGCCACTCTGCCCAGCACTCTCTATCGCTCTCTCTCTCTCTCTGTCTGTGCTCTCTGTGTGAAAGCATCCTTCTTAATCTTATTAGAGAGCGACGCCATTTGCACAAGACAAATGCATAAATAAGTTCAAGTGCTTTGAATTTTGAATTGGATTTCGGAACATCCCAAGTGCCCCAGCGGGGGAGGGAAACTTCCGGAGACCGAGGGGGGAGTTGGAAAAATGGGCATTGGAAAAAAATCAAACACTAAGAGAGAGCAGCGTAAAAAGCCAAAACGAATGCCAGATGATCTCCTGCAAGAAAGTCCCTTCCCGGCCTTGAATGGAAATGGGGAAGTGGGGTGGGGTGTCGGAGTAAGGTCTGGGGGGACGGGACATAGTAACACGTGTTGTCAACAAATTGCAACCGAAATCCAGGCGAACTTTGTGTCTCTTTGGCATAAATAAATTTGCATAAGCATTGCATACATGGCAGGAACAGCAGCAGGAGGAGCCAGGAGAAGGAGCAGCAGCAGCAGGAACCAGGACTCGCGACCAGTAAAATCCTTAGCTGGCGGAGTGTGAGGACACCCAGCTGCAACGTGCCACTTGTTTAACGTGATTTGCACTCGCAACGAGCCAAATAAAGGCAACCCAAACGAAATCAAACGAAGCGTGCTGCATACCTCAAGGCCCACCAGCTACCGGCTACAATTTTAGGTCCTGCTGCAACTCTTTCCAACCAGCCACACGAACGGGATGAGAACGAGCAGTAGCCCAGGAATACCAAGGAGCCAGGGAGCCAGGGAGCCAGCTAGCGAGTCAGCCAAGCCACTAATGTTGTTAATGGCTGCTAAAATCGTTTGGCAATTGCCTCATTGACTCGAAGCAAGCCCCTGCCCCGGCCCCCAACTCTTCAACGCTCGGAAACACGACGCCAGACCGCAATTTAATAGACTCGAGACTGCAATATCCTCCAGCGCTATCTGCTGCTTTTCATGCAACTCCGACATCGCGTGCTGCAACGCGGTGCATCGGTGCTGCTGACGTGACACGAGAAAACCCACAAACAAACTTATTCCAAGCAATAAAACACGTCAAGATGGCAAAGCTTCCACTTTTGTTTGTTGAGGTTTTTTACTCTATTACTTTCTTAGGGTTACTTTCTTTGCCTTGCCGCTGGGAGATATTTTCAGAGATCCTACGAATCGTAGCATCACGCAATCATCTCTAGTCAGCATCTGGGGGCTAGCACTTTTTCCTCTTGTTCTCCCCATGGGTTTAGTGTTATTTTTGCCGTACTTTTCATTGGGTTTGCCCCGCGTTCCTTTCCTTTCCTTTCTTTTCGACGAAAGCTAATGCGATGGCATCGTTGAGGTCAACAATCGCTTAAACGCGTGTACGTGGCATATCTATGATAGAAGCTTTTGATTGCTGCGGCCTCTGCCTTTGCCGCTGCCACTTCCACTGCCTCTCTCTCGATATGGCGGCTGACGTGAACGTGTTGATTCTCAGGCACACTCCTGTCCTGTTCTGTCCTCTCCTGGCTATTCCCCGTGCTGCACTACGTGTCGCATACGCAATGCTCCCTCAGGCGAATCATTTCTATGGATGGATGAGGCGGCTCCGGCTCCAGCTCTACATCGCTGCAGCTGCACATGGGCAGGAGGTGCAAGTGGCTCTGTGGGAATGTGTGCCATAAATGGGATTACAAGTAGATGAACTTGATGAGGATGCGATGAACGGTTTTTTCTGCAATGGAACAGTCTAAGCCGCTAGAGAGAGTAGCATAATCGGTTTATTTTAAGAGAAAAGTGGATGTACATACCTCGTATTTGTGGAGAGGAATATGGTATATAAAATCACTAAGTAGGATAGAACTGAAGATGGCATGGACAAAAGGCTTACACTGGGCTATGAAGGAATTCCGATGGATTCTTATCGGTCATAAAGGAATGCCGAATAATGGATTTGCAAATGGATGGGACATGGGCAATGGCGGAATATTGAAACTATTCATCATATCGTGTAGGATCTCCATGAATGATGAAACTGTGCAAATGAAATGAAACACGTAATAAAGAAGCTTTCACAGTGCTCCCCCCAGTGACTATCCTCCTGCTCGTCCTGCACCGTGATTCGTACTGCGACAATTGTTTAGACCAGCTCGACTTGATTTCATATTGCCATAAATTAAGCTCCCAGCCAGGATAAAGTTGGCCAACCCCATGACTAAAGCCAAAGCCAACGACAGACAGAACCGAATATAAACCTGCAATTTTACTGTTTGCCGCCCCATGGTCAAACCCCCCCCCCCCGACAAGGGGGAGCAAAACTAAGCAAACCGCACGAAATTAAAGCAGTAGAGGTGGGGGGCTAAAAAAGGAGCGCAAGGACATCGACATGGACATGGACATGGACATGGTTGGGAGACCAGAATCAAGCACAGAGAGCGACGGGGCAAAAAAACCAAAAAGACGAAACCGACGCAGGCCAACACCTATGCGGATGCAGACAAATATTGTAATGGAGGTCAGGTTAGGTCTCCCCAACCTCTTTCTCCTTTCCCTATCTCAGTCTGTCTGTCTGTTTGGCCATTATACAATTTGTGGCAAGTTCTTGCTGCCCCATAGCCCCCTGCCCTGATTGAGTCAAAAGGCAAAATACAACTTTTTGGGCACTGTTTGAGGCAAAGTGGGTTCATAAATCTCGCCGGCGCATCGATTTGACAATTTACGAAAACGAAAAGATGGACCCTCCCGCTTTCCTTCATTGCAGGTCCTGCCTTTTGGGGCCTCATCAATCCGGAGTGGTCGTTGTGCAACAAGGGCCGACGTCAGTCACCGGTAAATCTGGAGCCGCAGCGCCTGCTCTTCGATCCCAACTTGAGGCCGATGCATATCGACAAACATAGGGTGAGTATGGATGGAGAAGGGAGTACCAGGATTAGCTTGAAAATCAATTGAATATCCCCTCTTTCCTTGGATCTCTGCAGATATCCGGACTAATCACCAATACCGGACACAGTGTCATCTTTACGGCCGGCAACGATACGGTGGCCAACTACGACGGTATGCAGACGCCCGTGAACATCTCAGGGGGACCGCTGTCGTACCGCTATCGCTTCCATGAGATTCACATGCACTACGGCCTGAACGATCAGTTCGGATCGGAGCATAGCGTGGAGGGGTACACATTCCCAGCGGAGGTAAGTCCACACAAGACATGTGTCAATTTCAATTTTCTCTGCTACAAAGGGTGCAGACACCTGCCCTGTGCTCCCCCCAATGCCCACATCGTGTGCGGAGCGCCTAAATTTGGCATGGGACACTTTGACACTCGGGCCTTAGATTCTATTTCGGTGCTGTCTGCCTGTCAACAGATTTCCTTTAGGTTCCAGCCCTCTTTAACAATTCAATTGTGTGTGATAAGAGGTGGCTGGGGATGGAGGCTGTCGTTGGCGCTGGGGGTTGAGTGTTGGGTGCTCATTGAGTCAAGTTTTTCAACTTTTCTTGCGTCATTTCTTTTCCATTCTGTCTCATTGCTCGCCCCATTGTGCTCCGTGTCCTGCCTGTAAACTTGTTACCAACTTCAGCTCCCCTAGCCCCCTCGTTCGCGAGCGTGCCACAAGCCTGCTCAAATATTTACACAGATAAACGAGCGGAAGTGTATTTGATCAGCATTTAACGTAGCAAATGTCGATTTGTCGCTGACAAAAAAATAAGGCAGCCAGCGAGGGAGAATGCGAGTAAAGTCAAGGAGCAAAGTCGAACAAAAACAAATGTTCAGGAAACGCAAGAGTAAAGTAACGAAGCTGGTTATACACTCACATATACATTGCTAATATATATGTATGTTTATGATATACCTACTCACCCGATCTAGATCAAATTTTTAAATGTAATATTTTCCATGGGCACTCTAATGTTTCTCCGCGCTGTCACAAATCATAGTACCCCAGGAAAAGGGTATTCAAGAAGTCTTTGTCTGTCTCTGCTTGTTGAGCGGGATTAGGTGTGGGGCACAAAGTTCATAACTTCAGTCCTCAATGTTATCATCAACGCTCTGACAGGCTCAAGATTTTTTTCGAGAGAAAGAGAATGTGCTGGGTGGGTGCTCTCTCTCTCTCTCTTAACTTGAGCTTTGATTTGCCTTGCTTTGTTACCGCTGCCGCTGCCAGTGCCCCTGTCCATGCCCATGCCGATTTGATTTCCGGACAAATCATTCACACTTGTAAGAGCAGGTAGAAAATCTTCCAAGCCGATTAGGCATACAAACACAAGTTCGCATATACTTATGTACTTTTCACTTTTGTGAAAAAGCTTGTTCAAGCTGCATCGATCTAGGTTCAGCTTTTGGACTACCGATCCGAAGCGCGTGAGAGAGCATGTCTCTGCTTAGGCGGCTGCGAGTCGATCCCGTTAGGCGTTGCTCTTTGGTTGTTGTCGGACTACCTGCACTTTCTGCAGCCAGAAGTGGAGGTGAATGAGTTGAGACAGATACGTTGTGAATACAGCTTAAGCGGAGGCTTTTTATTTTTAGATTTCTCTTCTGCTTGTGTTTTTGATTTCTGCACATACAAAGAGACGAGATCTACATATGATATTATCATATACCTTACACTGTGAATGATTTCACTTTGCCGTCAACTCCAGCCGTTGAGGTCTGCTGCTGTTCTCTGATGATTTTGTTGGAGTATTGTTTTATTTGTACACATTGTTTTAGGGCACAAGCGGGGTAGCATATTTATGTGTCATATGGCTGAACAGCAGACGGGTAGGTTGGGGCGAGGACCTCTCCCCCTTGCAGACGTCGACGCAGACACCTTGTCTGCCGGCCGCACAGCCCCGTCCCTTTCACGGCATCCACCGCCTGACGGATGAACACATGCGTGCTTCCTTCTGCTTGCCTCCCTCCTCCCCTTGCATTCCCGTCCTCACGAACGGTTCCTTATGATATTCCCGTTCCGCCTGTTTCTTTCTGTTTGCCCCTCTTCCACTGCTTCCTACTCTTTTCTTTGTTGTTTGTCAAATATGATTTAACCTTTCTCATAATGCTTCTCTTGCTGATGTTGTTCTTGTTCTTGTTGCTCTTGTTCATTTTGATGTCAAGTTCATGCGCTCACACATGCTCTCTCGCTTCAGTTGATTTTGCGAGCAGTTTATTAAAAATATGCAAATACGCGACTTTTAAAGGGCAGACGCTGGGCTGGAAGAGCTTGGTGGGCGGGATAGAATGAACAAAGCTTTTCTGATTACGGATTTGTGTAAGGTCTCCGCGTGTCTCTCCCTGCAATGCATATTTCATAGTGGGTACAGCCATTCTGCATGTAAAAGGCTGACCTCTTTGGACTGCTCTACTGCCTATTTAGTGTACCTTGTGCCTCTCTCTCTCTCTCTACTTTCAGCACTCTTCACTAATTTGTCGCTTTCGTGCAGCTGTCCAAGATGGACCCTAATGATACCCATTGACATGCTGTGGCAAAATTGTTGGACAAATTTCAATTAATTGCAACACTTTGACCATTTGTCACGCTTTCTGCTCTCGCCATAATCTGCAGCTGCTGCTGCCAATAGGCCAAGTTCTGCTTCGACTGCAACTCCAATTAGTCAATGGCCATGTTAATAAAAACATAAATTCCAGATGCTGCTGAACGAAAGGGAAAGTGCGTGGCATATCTAGGAGGTTGTTGTTCAAAGGATTCAATGATTCCAATCATCTTTGTTTTGCATACAGCATATCTCTACTCCAACAAATTTCGGAAAACTTACGAGCAGTTGCCGTTTCTGAGAACTCTTTTATGGAGTCGAGAAGGTCCTCGGAGCTTAGCCCTGTGTCCTCGGATGGGATGCTGTCATCTGACTGGCGGTTCTTAGCCACTTGACTTGACTCGAGTCGAGTCGAGCTGAGTTTTGTTGAGTTGGGATTGGGTTGAGTGATGGGCGACACAGTTTTCATTTTCATTTTCATTCCCATTAGCATTTCGTTTTCGCTTCGTTGTCGTCATGCTGCGGCGCCTTTGTCTCCACTCGACAGCCAGCGAACAGGCAATCAAAAGTGAGCCCCCCCCCGGCTGCAGTTGCAGCGATGGGCTGCCACAACAGGCTGGCTGCCTGCCACAGCAGTCTGGAGCGGCGGCAGACAGCAAACAAATAACGTTATAAATCTGTTGCATGTCAGCAGTTGGTGACTGTCTCCGGCGGTAGAGTAGAATGGAGTGGAGCACAGTGGAGTGAAGCAGTGGCACCCACTGCCGCCAATGTCAGCGCAAATTAATTAGAAATCCGGCAAGAGGCCATGCCACGTACTTCCCGTAATCATCTGTCTCCGACCGACCAACCGACCACCGACTGCCACCTGCCACCTGCCACCTGCCACCTGCCGACAATGAGACGATGATGAAGTATGCGGCGTATTATTTTTGTTAATTTAGGACTACGAATACCGCCTGGTTGGGCTTCTACTTGCACAGTTACAGTTTTCGCACTTAAAGCCAAAATTGGGGATCGACAGCTTTGAATGGCCCTTCTCCCATTGCCCCATTTGATTTTAATCCGTTCGATGCCTGCCATGGGGTAGGGAATTAAAATGCATTGTTCGGCCAAGTGCCTCGGCGGAGGGAGTACGCCCCTCTGCAGTTGAAGGTTCTCCTCAAAGAGTTCCAAATCTGAGCTCAAACTAAAAGTGAAACATTTTGGTGGCTTTAAAATGCAAATTCTACTGTAGATTTAATTTAATATAAATAAAATCACGCTTTAATTCACATGTCACTTGAAACTAAGAAAAAATTATAAAAACTATATATATATAATAAATTCCATGCACAAATTCAAGACACAATTACATCGAACGATTCCTGGAGAAATGCTTGATGAAGCGGTTCATGGGTTGCTCGGATGAGCATCCTGTCTGGCTGTCTGCCCGCCTGGCAGACCGTAACGAAAGCCTCCTTAATGGCTCAGGCCAGAATTTGATCAGCCTTAATGAATACGTAATTGGCAATTTTAATTAATCCCCACGAAATCCTCACAAGATTGCAGCCGTGTCTTGGATTTCGTTGGGATGCCGTTGTCATAGAATGCCACCAGGTGGGCTGACGGCAGTGGGGAGGGATGGATGTTGGCGGGTAGTAATCAGAGGATGCGTTATTTCAATATCCAATGCACAGTTGCTGGATTTTGATTTGTTTTTGGGGGGGGCTTAGCACTTGTCCTATGGCTACAATATAATTATTTAAGCGGTCAGGAGAGAGATGAGATATCATGGAGATGAGAGCGTGCGATCCAAATCTCTGTTGGGATTAGAGAGGAGATTAGAGTATTTCAGAACTTCAGATCTACTTCGTTCGTAATGGCACAATGGCATACCTCAACGACTTTTTACAGATGGACATACTGCTATGGAAAGTCCTGGAGTATCAAAAACCATTCCAATCACGCGCTCATCTCTGGTTCCATATAATAGACTGCCCCCCCACTAAACCCCTTCTTTTGGGGTCAGACAGAGTCAGACGGCCTGCCCAGCCTGCCCACGGCCGCCCTGTGGTTGGCAACCTACGGCAACGGCAACCCCTCAGCCCCAACCACCCCGAACGTCCGACCGACCGACCGACCGACGGACCGAACCGCTACCGACAACGACGATGGCTTAACCATTAATTTACGCGCTAACCATGAAAGTACTTAAATATACAAATGTATCTCTATCTCTATCTCATCTATCTGTGCACTGCACTCACACGGCGAGGGGGCTCTCGCGGAGGGAGGATAGCGACAGAGACGAACAGACAACGACAGAGTGAGCGAGGGAGTGAGTGAGTGGCACCGAGAAACGCCAAAATATTTGCTGCTAATGAGGTCGTGTTGTAATTTCGACAACCCCGAACAGCCCCTCCACGGTGGCGTCACCCCATCCCTCCCATCAACAACCCTTCACTCCCACTAAGCACCACAAAGCCACCCTGCCCCACCATGCTTCCCCGCCACACAGCCACACAGCCACCCCTTTCTAGCAATCCGTTAAAGGCCAACCAGCAATTAAAGCGATTTTCGTGCGCGTTTTTTCTCTCTTCCCCCCATGTTTCGTTCGTTGGCTCTGTTCGCGCGTTTTAAAACGCTACTAAGTCGTTAATGTGGTCTGAGTGGATTTGTGCTGGTTTCCCCTTGCTTTGAATCCAGCCGGAACAAACTCCTGAAACACCTGGCTGGCGGGGTAATGAGTCTGGTAAAGTTTTTGATTGGATTATGAGGCTAAGAAAGTCAGGTGTTAGAGCGTTACGGATTGCTTGTTGGCGTTTTAAACCGCCTGAAAGTTTGCTTTTTGTAGGGGTCTAAAGTCGGTGGGAAATCAATTTTTGGTAGGTAGCCAGCAGTCTCATGGGAAAAAGGGTTGGCAGCACAGATTGAAGCGTTTCGCGTTGCTCTTTCGTTGATCCGTTTTAAGACGCGCATAAAAAACGTGCCTTAAAACCGCGCAAGTTGCTCTCAGATATTTTGTAGTCTTATCATTACTTAGGGATAGTTCTTCAGGACTCTTCTGGCAGGAGCACACAAAAACACACACGACTGCCATCCGTGTGTGGGATCTCAGTGCAGCTTCAGCATTTCCATTTGGGTGCGTTTTAAAACGCAGGCAAAACGCTAGTGGTGGGAGGGGACTTCTGCTGCTCATTTTTGGTTTTTGCATATTTACCGCTCCCATCTCCCGCACATCATCCTTAACCGCATCTTCATCTGAATGTTTGGGGCAGGGGATAATTAGCAGAAAGTGCTACAAGTGCATCAGCCAGAGTGGCAGGCAGGCAGGGGGCAGGGCACGGGTGGTGAGCCGCTGTGGCAGAGTGGCTGTGGCAAAAATAGAGCGATCTAAGTCCGGCAAAGTACCACAAACTGCTTCGTCCCTCCCCACGCCCATAGTTCTCCTCTGTCTCCTGTCTCTGTGTCTGTGTTTTGGGAGCGTGTTTGACAATGTCCCCAGTGCGTTGTTAAGCTAATTTGCTTCATTTGTCTAGAAAACTGACACACAGACCCAAGTGGAAGGAACTACGGGGCGCCAAAGTGTTGACATGAGGCCATGTTCTCGGGCCTAGAACCAGCAGACACTGCTGTTTAGGCCTGCTGCTAGGCTCGTTCTCTGTGCACTGGGCACTGGCATGCCATGGCCAACATTAACGGGGCGCCCGCCTGGTCATTGCAACACGAAAGCCAAGCCAACCAGCTGGCAACACACAGACACAGGCACAGCCACAGAAGCCAAGAATGCCACTAGCACCGCCCCGCCCCGCCCCACCCCGTTTCATCCTTCGCCTTCGGTTTTGCTACCACTTCAAATTGGTTCAGGCACACAGTGGAGCAGAATATAATATTATTGTCTACAAGGATTGCAATTATTAGTGGCACATACCAGAAAATAACCGCAAAATATTTGAATAAATACCAAATTAGTCCAGCAAAATACTAGAAACAAAAACAGGAATTCCTATTAATAATAATATAAAAATCATAGAAAAAGTCTAGCAAAAGCATTTTCTTTGCATTCATATTTAGGCGTAACAAAATACGTAATTATTTCGTAGGCTTCATTTGGTGAACCAAATCTATCCTCAATTCAGTTGAATGCAATTCTGTTGCTCTCTTCAACCCATGTTTAACCCAGGGATTTTTCAGTATTTGTGTACCACTGTGCAGTGCGGCTTTTCGACTCTGCGGAGTACCAGGTGAAGGGTGGGCTGGGCTCGGCCTAGGCAAAAGTTTCAGCAGCTGGCGTCGCGCTGGTCGCTGTGGCTGTTCTGTGCTGGGCTGTTCGGTTTCTCGTTGTCAGCTCGTTTACTCGGGGCCCTAGTCCTGAGTCCTGGGCTCCTAGAGTCCGATGTCTGGGCCTGCCTGGCTGTGGAATCCATGCAGTGAAAACATGTGTAATTGATCTGATTAAGTTGCCTTTGCCTCTGCGTGTGTGTTTGTTTGTGTGTGTGTGTGTGTGTGGAGGGTGGGGGGGAAGAAATATGCCAGGAGCTTTTGCGGACTTCTCCTTCTCAAACAAACACACACACACAGACACACACAGACACACACACACAGGGTAGGGCAGACAGACGGGCATCCCGTAACACCGCTTAGGCTTTGGGTCTTTGGTTTGGTCGGTCGGCTGGCTGGCTGGAGAGGGGCTTGTTGTCCGGCTATTTGCTGGTACTTACACTATTTGTTGGCCTTGTCCTTGTTGTTGCCACTCCTTGTATCTATTTGCTTGGGCCAGAGGCTTTTGCTGTTTAATGAAACGGAAATATAACATTTTAGTTTGTGGTCAAATATTGTATCACTTTTTTGTTGTTTCATTTTGTTTTGTATTTGTTGTGCCACAGTCTGGGTGTTTGGGCTTTGGTTTGGCTGTGAATAGAATGTGGATATCCTTTATGATCCAATTGGAATTTATCTGAACAGCAAGTGTGAAGTCTGCAGCCCATCAACGAGCTGCAGCTGGCAAAAAGTATATTTCAAAATAATTTATTTATTTTTATCAAATGTGTTTAAATGCTTTTCCCCATTACTATTATTGATTTTTCAACATTTATGGCTTAAGAACTCCCCATCCAAAGTTAGGAATTAAAACTTAATGCTTGCTACTCTCATCTGAGTTTCGTTCTTTCGTTTCAAAATAAATTTACTGAAACATTTTATTAATTTCATTGAATTTCCATCATTTGCCCAAGCCCAAGCATCTTCATTTTGCATCATTCTCATCAAAATTTCGTTTGCATTTGCCACAAAAATAAGTCTTAAGCATATGTGGACAGTGCGTTTCAAAAGTGTTTCACTTACTCTCGTTTTGTGGTGGCAATTATTTAAGTAGTTCCCTCCTTGCCTTTAGCTTTCACTATAAAGATGCTTCCACTTTATTACAGCATTTTAGGGACACTGACAGATGTCGACTCCATTTCATTTGCGAAACGCACTGTTCCTTTTATTTTTGAACTGCAACTTCTGTTCTATTTGCTCGAGTTGCCTCACTCCACCCTCTCCCTTCCTCCCGCACACAGTTGGTGGCGACTCTCCAAACTCTCCACTCCATCGAAAGCATTTCGAGAGCAACTTTGAGAAATTTTAATTTAATTTAATTTTTATTTGCCTTGCTGGGCACACATTACAATTGCAGCTTGTAGTTTTTTAATATTTAAATGCATATGCCTCAGTCTCCTCAAAGGGCTCTCGGCCGAGCTTCCTTCTGCTGTCTATTTTTTCCCCTGCGAAATTCCCAAAAAAATAAAACAGAGAGCAAGACATGTGGGACCGGACAACTATTAACTGCTCTGCGCCTACAGTCAGGGGGCGGTGGGTTTTTGCTCTGCTATTATTATTATTATTTTCCCCATTGTCTGGAGCATTTCCTTCCGCTCGGTGCGTCTGGCCTGGTCATGCCAGACCGAAAATCCCCAACGAAAATCCTTGTACACATGTTACACAAACACCACAAGCAGTGAGAAAGAGCGAGAGAGAGAGAGAGAGAGCCAGAGGGTTGCCAGAAGATTCATGCCAGTGTGGGCAGCAGCAGTTTTACAGCACATTAAAGCAGCCGCAGGTCGCAGGAGATCTGCATGAGCCTCTCAAACACACCCGAGGCGATGCCAAAATGCTTGCAGCCACCTCATGAAGCTGCACCACAAAAATATGTGGAGCAAAGGTACAATCGTTTTCAGGTTTGTGTTTCGCTATCGAATCGGGTAGCTGGGGGCATTCTCTCGGGCAACCCTCGGCATTTGGGCATTTGCTTTGCATTTAAATTGTGGCGTCGCCTGCTCATGCTGCTTCGTGTTCCTCTCTTCCTCCTCTGCTTCGTTTCCCTCTTCGTATGCTGCTGCTTATGTCTCTTCTCTTCCTGGTGCTGCACCAATTTTGCTGCTCCTTCTGCATCTTGTTTAGGCGTTTTGTTGTCCACGTGAAACAAAAGTGCAATTGCATATGTATAAGTGCTGGTGTGTGTGGGTGAGGGCAGAAGGCAGAGATGTGCCCCCCTCCAGCACTTCTTGCACGTTTCTCCCAAAAAACTGTTGGCTAAAAGCAAAATATGTGTTGTCCTGCCGTGATCTTCTCGCTCTCGCTCTCCCTTTCCCTTTCCCTCCCCCTCCACTCACTGCTCCATGTGTGTGTGTTTGTCCCCACGTGTGCTTGTATTTGTGTTTGTGTTTCTATTTGTGTGCATTTTGTTGATAGTTGGGATTATTTTTGGGGCAATTTATGCGAAACAAGGCGTGGAGCTGCACTGCCGCCTCCGCCGCTGCCTCTGCTGCTGCAGCTGAACCCGGGGCCACGCCCCCTTCTGTCACCGGTTTTGTATGCATTTGGGCTTAAATTGAGCAACAATAAAGTTTTCCCATTTTTTGTTGTTGTCCACACTGGCCACAACCCAAACAAAGTCCAGTTCAGCAACAACCAAAAGGCAGCAAAAAAAGTGTACACCCACCCGCCCATGCCTCCTACTAACGCTCTCTCTCTCTCTCTCTCCCTCGCTTTGTGTGTGTCTCTTTCCATTTCTCACTGGCACTTTTTTCCGCTTTTGGGGTTTTTCCTTTCAGATACAAATATTTGGCTACAATTCGCAGTTATATGCAAATTTCTCCGACGCCCTGAATCGTGCCCAGGGCATTGTGGGTGTCTCCATTTTGCTGCAGGTAAGTCCAAATCCATGTGACTCGATACTTGTCGTTTGCTTATCGCTGTCTATTCGATTGTACTCCAGCTGGGTGATCTGTCCAATCCGGAGCTGCGCATGCTCACCGATCAATTGGAACGCATCCGCTATGGCGGCGACGAGGCGTTCGTGAAGCGTTTGTCCATACGCGGCCTGCTGCCGGACACGGATCATTACATGACCTACGATGGCTCAACCACGGCCCCAGCCTGCCACGAAACGGTCACCTGGGTGGTGCTCAACAAGCCCATCTACATAACAAAGCAACAGGTGAGTTAAATATCAAATAAGAACTCGGCGAAGGGTGACACTCAAGGCAAAGAGTGACAAAAATCGCACTCAAACAGGGATTATTGGCCAAGTTATAGGTTGTTGGTAGCTCTGCGAATTGGCAGTGGAAAATGAAGTAAAATTTTCTGAATTTATGGAGCTGTCTTGGTCACAGCTTTGGCTCCTCTGCCACCTGCTGCGGCACCTTCTTTGCCTTCTTTGGTTGGACTGCTTGAGCGCTGCCTCGTGGCTCCCAGCGCCTTCTGTGAACATTTTGAGTGATGACCACCTTAATGTTTGTTAATTAGTATACAGTACTCTGTGCTGTCCGCATGCTGTCCGCGTGTCCGCGTGTCCGCCTGTCGTTGTTGTTTGTCTCGTCTGTTTTATTAGCTAATTTCATTTAAGTTTTAAATTAAGTTGCTGCTGGAGCAGCATCAAGAGCGGCAGAGGCAACAAAGTGGATAGTGACCATAACTCAAAGGAATGGCGGAAAGCACACACACACACTCAAGGAAATGGCGGAAAGCACACACACACACAGACAGAGAGGGGAGAAAAAATGTAACACAAATGTTTATTAAGTGCAGCGCTGTAATAAAGACGCCAACATGCATGCGCCACGAGAGAGAGAGAGAGAGAGAGCGAAAGCGGAATGAAGCGGTTGAATGGTGGCCAGCGGCATACGTGTAAACAATGTAACAGCCGAGGGAGAGAGAGAGAGAAAGGTGAAGAGCTGAAACGAGAGAACGAGACACAGACACACACACATGGTTGCATCCACTGGCAGCAGCAGCAGCAGCAGCAGACTCATAAAAACTTCAACAAGCTCAATGGGACCCATGGGCACATGATTACAACTTGTGGCAGCCATGGAGGACCCATGGAGGATGCCCAGACACCGCCAAGCGACGGGGCAATGTAATTTAGTGGCACGGCCAAACAGAGACAGAGAGAGAGAGAAAGGCAAAGAGAGAAGACTGCACCTTGCTGGCAAAACATAATTTACCAAATTAAAGTAACACCAGCGCAGGAAAGGAGCAGTGGCAGTGGCAGTGGTAGGATGTCCTGCGGCAGGAAGCTGCGCGACATGAGCTAAAAATTGCAATTAACCCATTAACTTGCAAAGCAGAGAACGATGGACGATGGAAGAGGGAGATGAAAGGGCAACAAAAGGAATTATAGGAGGAAAATGCCCGATCTTTGTGGATCATGACCAGAGAGCGATGGGAGAAGCTGCAAGATTGATAGGTGCCTGTGTGTGTGTGCGTATTTTCATGGTTTAATTGCCGAGCTGTCAATCAGCGTGGCACACACAGTCGAGTCGCGTTGCGACATGAATCCCAAAACGTCCATGCGGCGATTCCATTGTAGATGCCTTGAGTGCCATTTGGTGTTGCATACTTTCGGGCGCCTCGCCACCCCCCAAACACACACATTCAAACACCTCCTACTTAATTCACACTTGAACGGGCACTCGGGGGAGTGGCAGTATGCCCTGCATCAGCATCCCCTGCAGCACACTCCTCAATCAACATCAAGCCCACGACAACCCACGTTTGTCGTGAAAAGCGATTTTGACGGAAGTCAATTGATAAACAGATTGAGTAGATTAAGTGTTATTGACTCGATGCTGTCGTTGTCGCTGGCTGTCTCATCGCTGCTGTAGAGGGTGTCCTGGCTGTCCTGGCTGTCCTGGCTGTGGGTCTTACTTTGATACGATTTTTATACTCGTACGAGTATTAAACTTTTTGTTGCTGCTGCTGCTGCTGCTGCTCAGCGAGCGCTTATTTTTAGGATTAGCAATTTATGTCAAGCAGCGGGGTGTGTGTGTGTGTGTGTGTGTGTGTGCGAAAAGGTTTATAATTATGAACGTTAAACGCTTAAAAGAAACGATGCCCGGTCCTATCTACATCTACGAGTAGACCCAAGCGTGGGTCTCCATTGTCTCTATGGCAATGATTGTTCCACTTCCGCATCTGGCACTTGAGACGACACAAAATGTGTACAGCTTATAAATAAATAAGGAAAACAATTTAAAATCCACTGAAAAAGTGAATATAAATACCAGACTTAGAGTCATTGAAATATAACAAAATGTACACTAGCGAATCAAAATAATTCCTTGTTTATATGCATTATAATGTCTATTTGCTCTTTGTTTATTCTCAGTTGCATGCTCTGCGCCGTCTCATGCAGGGCAGCCCCGACCACCCAAAGGCACCGCTGGGCAACAATTATCGGCCGCCGCAGCCGCTGCTGCATCGAGCCATTCGCACCAACATTGACTTCAAAACGACGAAAACGAACGGCAAGGCCGCCTGTCCCACCATGTATCGTGAGGTCTACTACAAAGGTATGCCATAAATGTAAAACGGTAGAAGGGAAACGTTACATTAGGAAACTCAAGGAATAAATTGTTTAATGCACTTTGCACGAGACAGGATTTAGATTCAATTGGCAGAGTTCTAACGAAAATATCAGATGCTTTGCGCTGAACAGTCATCCGTAATCAAAAGAGAAAATGTACTCATTTTGCCTACGGATAATTGTCAATGGTTAAAGTTTAGGTTGAGGGATATAGACATTTTGTAACACTTTTAAAGTTAACATACAACACTTTTGTCTTTGTCAATTCTTTTACAGCGACCAGTTGGAAACAGAACTAAGACGTAACTAATGGCCGTTCTGACGTAATGACGCAGTGACGTAACGTAAGCGCCAGACGTAATTAGCGTGCGGCGTGCAACAGGAGCTTCCACTAAACATACATATACAACCCGGCGATGCTGCTGAGGAAAGATCAATCGAGGATGCTGTGCCCAGCAGCTATAACGAACGAGGAGCGAGTAACGAGCAATGAGGAGCGAGTAACGAGTAACGAGTAACGAGGAAGAGCAAAAGAAGAGCGTGGGCGTAAATGAAATCCATGCACGCATACATACTCGTGCATACATATACATAAATACATATATAGGAGGTGCATCAAGTGAAGCCGAATAATATTGATAGCGATAACGATAACTAGCATTAAATGTGCAATTTTTTTTGGGTCACCCGCCCCATGCCCCCCACGAAATCAATCAGACTCCTTTGATTGCAGCTGTCAGAGATGCTCGGGGTGTGCGTGTGTGTGTGTTTTTTTTTAGGTCAATGTGTGTGTAGGGCTCTGAATGCAATACAGCGTAAGTACGATAACGATAACGATAACGAGAACGATAGCCATAGCGATGACTAGTAAGCAGAATTACCAGCATAATCATAAATAATCATAATAATAATAACACTAAGAATAATAAATGCTGTATATTTAATGCAAGGCAAAAAAGTTGCAAGTAAGAAATCAAAATAATAGTAATAATAATAATACAAACACACACCACAAATACATACACACATAGCGGTATTTGTATATGTTTGTGTGGGTCTATCGATAGCCGTAGGCAAATGATGGAGAAGAGCGAGAGAGAGCATTATGCTAAACCCACCCCCAAAACACCGACCATTCCGTTGCTGGCTCTCTTTGTGCGTGTGATTTAGGCGCTGTTCCAGTAATAGTCGTAACAATAAAACTCCGTACCGAAACCAATTTAAATATGATAATCTCCTGTAGACATACCCATGCATAAATAGAGCAAAAAGAAAACATACTCTGGCTGCAGCTTCAAAATTCACTGCAAAACAATACACTTCAAGGCAATCGCAAACAACTTTCTCCAAAACAATTTCAATGAAGCAGGGCCAGGGCGGGGTTTCGGTCTGCACTTACCGCTGCCACACATTTAATTCCAATTTTGAAATTATGAATTGGTTATATGTATGCGCATTCTTTTCAATCCATAATCCCGATATGCACGCCGCGCACTGGCATGTTGCCGGGCACCACACAAATGCGTGCATTTTGCATTTTAAATGGACTTGACCACAGCATCGCTGCCCCCAATACGGGGGGAACCGGTGTAACCGGTGGGCGGGGGGGCAGAGACCTTATCAAACCCAGTTACCAAATGTCCAGTGACCATTGCCCAGTGCCCAATGCTCAGGGCCTCGCTGGCGGCTGGCAGTCAGGCGGCTGTCGCTTATCGAACAGCAAATGCAACATGAAACCACAAAATCTGTTGCGGTTATTTAAAATCACGTTTAAATACGAAAGTGCACAGCCAGAGTCCAGTGTCCGGAGTCCGGAGTCCAGAGCCCGCATAAAAATCAACTTTTTAATGGCCGAAAGGAAAATGATTACGTATACGGCGCGCTGCGTTGCGCCGCACCGCACCGCACCACACCGTACTGGCCCCAAATGCTGCATAACTTGTTCCCTAAATGGCAGCCAGACAGCCTGGGCACTGGGGAAAGGGCAGAGGTTTCGGTCTGGGGCTTCTCTCTCTCTCTCTCTCTACAAAATCACATAATAATTTGTATAAATATTTGCATTATTTGCACAAGTTGACATTTTTGTTGCTGCTTTTTGTTTTCGCATTCTGCTCTACACTCGTATTTTTCGCATTCTGTTGGAACTCTTGCAGTTTTTCATTCGAGTTTTTGTGTGCTCTGTTTTGTTTCTGTTTCTGTTTCTGTTTTTGTTTTGTTGTTGTGTTGTGCATCGAGGGATTTGCCAATGGAAAATTATGACTTAAATTAATACATTTCAAATGTAATTTATTTGAGTGAATGAAGCAGGAGGAAGCTACAACCAGCAGCAGCTGGATGAATGCTTTCCCATTCGGTGCCTCATAGATGTCCTGTAAGTGTAGCAAAGAGGAAAATATACCCGACATGGCACACTGGAGTCTCTGCTGGAGAGTGTATACAATAGTTACATTCTGTTGCCCTCCTCGGCTGACTGCTGACTGCTGACTGCTGCCTGCTGACTAATTAGCCAGGTCAGTGGCCAGTGGCCAGCGGCAGGGCAAGGCCCAGTCCATCAGCAAACCCAATTCCAACTTTGGCTGACTTTCAATCAATCAAATGATATGGTGTGGTGCGGTGCGGGGGCTGCACTCTGGCCGCTCTGGCCAAACTGATTTGCGGTGAGTTCTGCACGAAGTTATCCTGCTTTCACGAGGAGCCGAGGGCACTGCCAGTTGACCACTGCATCAGAACGGGGCTAACCTGACAGAAATTGGCAGGCGGGCAGAAGGCCCGACAGTCCAGCTGGCAGCGAGCCACCACAGAGCTTCTGAGTCGGCACTCCGCATCGGCCGGAAAGCCTATATTAACCCATACACATATGTACATATAAATGTTTCTTTTTATAGATATATCGCACGGGCAATCCTTTAATTCAGCATCCACGAGTACTCGTATTTGCTTGCCACCAGGTGGCACGGCGCTCTGCACTCCACAGAAGCACACACACAGCCTCACTCCCCCCAATGGCAAATGAATTTCCCCATCACTGCCAGCCATATGGTGCAGGGTATCAGCTAGTCTGTCTTCTTGGGGAGCTCCGGCCACAGGAAGTGGCATTTTATCGATGCCATAAAAACTGCGGCTACTTTTTTACACCAGATTCCATTTTTTCGCATTCATATGCAGATGCAGTTTCGGCTGCAGATTGCAGTTGGCCATTTGGCGCACGTTTTTCCCTTTTTTATTTTTACCATTTTACCATTTCGACTATTGGTCATTTCGGTGATTATTTTTAATATATTGGCCATTGGCCACTGTAGACATGGACAAAAGACAACCATCGATCATGGGAGTGGGAGTGTGAGGCGGAGGCGGAGGCGTTGCTGGAATGGGCGTGAAAAATATTCCAATTTGACAAACAGACAAATTCGTTTTCCATTCATTTGCTGATAAGTCAGAGTCGTACCGTGCAATACCCTGTTATCAGAGTGATGAATGTTAATTCAATTGACACAAATGGAGTTGAATAAATAATTATCTAGCTTAAGCATGATTTTTTGATGAATTGTGAAAAGATTCTCCATTCATTGCCAGAATTATTTAGGGTATTCCATGGCAAACAAACAAAAAAATACCCACAGCTCAGCTCGCTGGCAGTGCGGACTTTTATGGTAGATTATCATATCTAGTTCTATACAAAACCAGAAACAGAAGCGGCAGCGGCAGCGGTAGCAGATGCAGAACCGGCAGCAGATGAGCGCAGCCAAACACAGCCTTTGGGCTTATGCAACGCAGATTCCATTACTGGTTATGCTAATTCTCTGCCCTGCCACGCCACCCCCTCCCAAACAGTGCCACATGCAGGGAGGCTGGGGGCTGGGGGCTGGGGTTGGGTTATCGCTGTTGTCCACACAAGACTAATTAAATTATGGAAATTAAATTGAATTGAGCATATTTGTTGTTTGCAGTTCATAAATTGTACCCATCCCGCACCGCGCAACTAACTAAAATGTCCAAAGCAGGGCCAGCCCCAGCCCCAACCCGAGCCCCAATGCCTGCATGCATGTAAATCATTTTACAATAAAATGCATAGCACAGCAGCAGCAGCAGCAGCAGCAGCACACACTTAATTATGACATCATTAATTTTTAATAATGACAATTTTGCGACAATAAATCACTTAACTAACACTACTGCACAGCGGCGTGTGGCGTGTGGCGAGTGGCGAGTGGCGAGTGGCGAGTGGCGGAATGGCGAGTAGGGGTTAGAGTGCCGAGTGAGTGTGTGTTCTGGGAGGGCTTTGCCAGCGATATGCATGAAATTAGTAAACTTTAAACAATGCACACCGCACAGACGCAGACAATGCCATGGCAAATGGGTTGGCAGAGGGTTAAGGGTTGAGGGCTTGGTGGAGCGGCATAAGCAAATAAACAGATTGACTGTCCCCACAGCCTTGTCCTGGCATTGAGTGATGGCAGCCAGCACACGAGAGCAGGAGCATGTTGTCCATGGTCCATGGCTGTTGCTGTGTGTGAGTGGGAGGACTGGCTTGCCTGGGATGAATTTAATTAATCTCGCTACCGTCAGTTGCACACAATTGCAATTAACTTGCAACACTCGCATAATTACAGGCGACCTCATGTTTTGCTACTTATCAGCATCAACATTGACCCAACGACAGCAGCAGCAGCAGCAGCAACAGCCAGGAGCAACATTGCAGCTGCACTTATGGACGCATTAGGTACCCTGAGTGCAGGATCATCTATGACTATCTATGAACGAGACTCTGCTGCTGCGACTGCTGCTAATTAACGACAACGCGCAGTGGCGAGTAGAGCGATTAGCGAGCTACGAGTAAGCTGCTGGAATAGCAACGAGTGAAACGAATAAGTGGCGATCTTTCCGTTCAAAATTGTATCCCAAGCTTAGCTTTTGTTGCCTGCATGCCTGCAGTCGCTTCAAGTTAATGGGTAATACCTGCGACAAGCATGCCCTGACACATGCAAGTTCTCACTCTCTCTCTCTCGCTGTGTGTGTGCGTGTGTGTGTGTGTAGTGGTTGGCTCATTGGTCATTTGGTTGCAGCTCGGTCGGTGTTAGCGGTTGCTCGTCATCGTCATCATCAACGTTGTTGGTGCCAGTGTTGGTCAGCGACTGATTGCAAATGTTGTTGCAGCATCAGAGACCTTTGGGTGGCAGGGGGGGGGGAGGTCAGCTGTCGACTGTCCACTGTCGTTGTTGTTGTTTGTTAATGCCTGTAAAGCACAAATCTGCCGCTGCCGCCGCTGCTGCTGCTGCTGCTGCTCCTGCTTCTGCCCTGTGGTTGAGTGAGGCACCTGCCGCAGAGTTTCCACCTCCACATGCCGCATGCCGCATGCCGCATGCCTTCACGCCCCCACCGAACCCCTCCCCCTTGCTGATGTCGCTGCAAATTAACATTTTGTAACGCGTTTCGGTTGCTGCCGTGTTTTCATTTCACACTTTCCCTCCACATACGGAGGCTCGTGCGGGGAGTGTGTCTGTGTGTGTGTGTTTGTTGTGACATGCATTTGACACAGGAACAGGACACGGCAATTGCCTAACCCACTCGCTCTTCCCTTTTCCCTTTTCCCTTTTCCCTTTTCCCCTTTCCCTTTTCCAATCCCACAATTCCGAGCCAACCACAGACAGAGTCCTGTGGCAAATTTGTTGTATTTGCGCTTGATTGCCAAATCAAATATTTGCTGTACTCCAAGTCCGACCCAGCAGTGGACGTTTTGGATTTGAATTTTGGGATTGGCTTCCCTATCCACACAAGCAAACATAAATATATTTTTAGGATTTTAATTTGCCCGAAAAACTGTTTAAATCGCATGTGAAACGCCGCTGATTGCTGGCTACAATTTGAGTTTGATTTATTGACACACACACACACACAACACACAGGGAAAACGCTGAGAAAATATGG